CTCCAAGTGAGAATGAATCCTAAAAACTTCATGAGCTAGAAAGCTTTAAACAGGAACAAAACCTTATTCAATGCTGAGCAAACAATAATGTACTTCACCTCTTAAATCTAACTTTTGGATTTATCATCTTACTTCCCTTGGACACAACTGCAAAAGGGGAATTATTTTTCACGGCTGACAGTGGGAATGTGGAGCCCAGGAAGCAAAGAGCCCCGGAAACCTGACAGTCTGCTTGAACTGTGCCTGAAAAATGCAATTCATCTGAATGCTGCAGAGAGAAGGGGGAAAAAGGAATGAGTCTAATTGGTTCTGACTATAAAAGTCAGATCTGAAGTTTTCTCTAGAGATGTGCATTACAGGAAACACTATTAGTGAACCCGGATCCCTTTTAAAAGGGCTAATTTAATCAAGCACTACAATAATTTAAGAATATGACACTATAAGGAGATTTGCATATTATACTTGACAGTAAAAACCATCAAATATTTGTCATTGACACCAAATGACTCATTTGGGAGGAAGACACTAGGTATTAGAGGTAACCAAAGGGACAGGTATGGCACGCAATGCAGCTTCAGAACAGACAAGCTGCTGAGCACTAACTCAAACCCAGATCCTATCTGTGATGCACAAAATGAAAACACAAGACAAAAGCTCAAAGGATAAAGGACTCCTACCACGAAGATTTGGGAACGATTTATTAAATGAAATGAGTTTGGTGTCAGCACACCCTCTTGTGCTGCACATGATGGTCACTGCTTCCAAACTCAAACTCTTGCCTACAATGAGGAGGTTTTGCTGAGCTGTGTTCCCAGGCCGGCACAAACATCACCCAGGGCTCCCATCACTCGTGAGGTGAGCAGGTACAGAATCAGACTTTCCCTGCACTCCTCTGCCTGGATGTGGGGATGGATCCTCTAAGGGCTGAAGGCTTCTCATTTTTTTTCAATCTCTCACTGTACATAAGCACTTCATTCATCAGAAAGAAAGGGGAAAAAATCCATTCCATGTTGAAATAGACTGCCACCTGCACTGCTTCCTAATGTAAGCAAATCCCAGTGGAAAGGTTTATCACCAGACTTTTATGCTGGACCAGTAAATCACTCTCAGAAATATCGTTTAAGCCTTACATGTGGTGTTACCCAGCAGGAGTAGCATGTTTTTTAAAAGAAATTCCAACAATGAAACAATTAATCCAATTTCCTGGAAGAACTTGTGTGACCACTGTGTATTTCAGGGTTTAGATCAGCCACAGATATATTAGCAATATAATACTAACAACACTGTCACTGCATTTTAATAAAATAAAAATAACTAGAATACACTGTGCAGTGAGACACTAACATAAAAGTTAAAAATGTTCCAGAGACTTAATCCTTTTATAATCTTGTGTGTGATTGTGTGTGCATGCCTGTATAGACACTGGAAATGCTGCTCTTGAAAGACATGGGACTATTAACCTGTGAAGACACTATGGTTATCTCCTGGAGTGCCAGTATCCCATCTGTTTATCAGCCCAGCTGTCTCACAAAGTAAAAATAAAATGGTGCTTTGAGTTTAACAGGCTGCAATCAATTTAGGAAGCAGGGCTGGGCTCTGCCGGGCTGGGCTTGGGAGTCTAAAAAGTGGATTAAGAGAGTAGCACATAAAACAGCATAAACTCCCAAATTCTTCCCTGAAAAACTTGCTCTCCAAATATTAATAAAAGAGAATAAAAATAAGTGAGCTTTCTAACAGTCTATTTTCTATTTAATAGGTAGCTGCAATTTCTATTAATTACCTTGCACAATTTAAATGGCTTAAATCCTAGAGCTGGTTCCCTTTAAATAATGTCTTCTTGCAAACTTTGATTAGCTCCAGAAAAAAACCAGCAGATGACTTTAAATGGCACAAAGGTGGATTTATTGGCAAGCATTTTGGGTTTGCACTTAGGAAGGAATTGGCAGATAGCAGAAAAAGGCTGGATGGGATTCAAACTCCAAGGACTCGGAGCTGAAAAAGGATTTATTTGAATAGCAAAGTATTGCAGTGTACTTAGTGCAGCTAAAGTTATTAAAAGCTTTTAACTAAAAACACGAAGAAATTAAACTTCCAGTGAAAGGCAAGCAACTGCATTGCTTCAAAGGTATGGTCATGGGGATATTTATTGCTTTCCTCCCTCACTGTGTCACTCACTGCTCCTAGCAATAGGAAGGTGTATTGATCTTCTTGATTAGGTGTATGTTCAAAAGCCAGATTAAACCTGAAGCTGCACAAAATTACTTAGCATTCAGGAAATAAAATGCCTTATTTTTGCCCTGAATCAGCTGTAGAAAAAAAGGAGCCTATTCACTGCATGTGAAAGGCAGGGAGCCTGAAGTCTCAGAAAAAACAGAGTAGCCAAAGCAGCATGAGCTGCTTTGCGCGGGTAAAGAGGCTTGGCCATGGTCTGCAGCAACAGAACTGGGGGTTGTGCTAGGAGACATTCTCACTACTGAAGGGTTGCCAGCTGAAACTGTAACTTTATTTGGGTTTGGGGAGATTTTTTTGGTCCCAATTTTCATGCTTGCTTTACAAAAGTCATAAAATTGCTCATGACAGTGCTTGAGGTATCAGCTGCTATCCTGAAGCCTTGTTTACACTCGTGACCCCCCACTGGCGATGGACCAGCAGGACAGCAACAGAAATGGCTTCTAAAAAGCCAAACCACTGCTCTGCTCCTGGGCTGCTGCTAAGCCCTACTTCGGGCAGGAGGCTGCTCCAGCTGACCTCTGGGATCCCCTGCAACCAGTGTTTTCCTGAAACATCCTCCAAAAGGGTGTTCACAACTACTCAGTCCCTGGGTTTGGCTAACAGCAAAGATGCCAGACACAGTGCTGACTTTGCTGAACCAGGCATTTATAAATTGCATTCAGTCAGAATGGATGCTGAAAAGGTAGGGTGGCTAGGAAGGGAAAAAGGAAAAGAGGGAAAAAAGGAAAAGGGGAGGGGAGGGGACGGAAGGGAGGGGAGAGGAATCTCAGTCACAGTGTCTCTGAATTGCTGCTTTATACCATCACATCTGCATGAGACACTTTTATGGAACTTCTCTGATTCTATTATTCGATTCTAACTAGGTGATGGAACATTCTAGTCTTTTACAATGGTATCTAAATATGCCAAATCACCTTTAGCAGCTGCTTTTTCTTATACCAACACTTCCCTTTTTTTTCCTACTACTTATCAGTTTTGCATCTGAAGGAAACTGAGTAAGCCATTTTCTTATTTTGTTAAGTGCAGATGCAGCTTTTGATTTCATTTTTTCAGACTAAAGCTAAAAGATGTTTTCCTCAGAAAACTGAATGACCACATTTCAAGTCTGGCAGCAGCTGCTCTCAGCAGCCAGCACGTGGATCACCTAACTACAAGTGTGTAACTGAGATACCAAAAGAGGACATCTGCAAAGTCAGCTATGCCATTTGGAAAAGCTCGTGCCCAAAGAAGCTGAGGGTGCTCCAAACTGATATACCTTAAATTAGAGCAGAATCTGGAACAATGTAACCAGAGGGGGTGAAAGGGAGAAGTTTAAGACTCCAGGACACTTCCATCAAATGCCAGTCATACTGAAACTTAAACGTATATTCAGTAAATTGTGCCAAACTCCATCATTATTGCTTTCTCTCACATATTTCTTCCCCTTTCCTCCATTGAATTATGCTGTAAGTCCCTAAGAAAGTGTTTGAGTATCTACAGGCCTTGGAACACAATCTGTAATGGCATAACAGCAGAAATATTTAACAAAATTCAAGCCAAAGAGAAGATATGGATATTTTTTTAATTCTTACCTCCCTTGGCCACTCTAAGTAACTCTAGATAAGAACAAACTGTTTGTACATATCAGTAGAAGACCCATCATCTACAAACTTCATCTACAGTGGTGTAAATATGCAGAGAAATCCAGATATGGAATAGTTTGCTCACATATCTCTTTCCAATAGAATTTGCTTCTCGCTGATTTCACCTGTTATTCTAGACTAAAATGGGAAGTTTCTGCAAAGTAAATTCAGAATAATGTTTCTTGATTTGTCAGCAGCAGAAATCATAATTCATCATAACTCATCTCATAATTTTTAATTCTTACATAGAAAAGCCAATAAAATGAAGACAAAAAACCAAACAAAACAAAAAACCAACCAACCAAAACAAACAAACAAAAACAAAAAAGAGAAAGCACTTTCTTTCTACTCCACAGCACCAGCCATATCATATTTTAGAACACCTCTGGTACTACTACGTCAAAAAATTGCCAAACACAGCACAAGTAGAGAAGTATACTCTTCTAATTTTTCAGGATTTCTTGAAAGTTTGTCAATAAGGTATTAGGAATCCACTCAACTCTGAAAACCAAGTTATTTTTACTCTCACGTTTCTAGTTTCTACTTTGGAACTGCAGAACAGTCAGCCTCATGAAGTCACACTCCGAAGCCCAAACCTTGCATGTTTCCCCACATTGTGCATATACATCCAAGGCCACCAAGACTATTTTGAGTTCATGGATGTGTCTACTTGTACAGAAGAAAGAAGTAAACACATTTTTTCTGGAAACCTGCTTGCAGACTCAGGTCTTCTTCCATATTCCTAACCAAGGAAAATTATTGCAATTTAAAAAATGTGGAGAAAATCCTGCAATGTGACAGATCAGCTGTAAAAGCACACACTGAAATGAGGACAACCTTTAAGCCATTCGAATCTTCTTCATGAAACCAGATTTTTTTCTGTGTCATACTCAGCACACAGAGATTTTCATTTTTCAGAGCTATAAGGAATTTGACAAGTAAACCTACTACAGTTAATAGCATTTTAATCTTTATGCATAATAACCTACATTGTACAGGTTTGGTAATAATAACTGACAGCTGAATTTGAAGTATACATTTCGTTCCAAAATAGATGCGCGTGTAGGTGGATGTGTTGTAGAAATATAATATACTACGCGGCTGAGCCCAGATAAGCTGGTGATTCTCAAACATCACTATCATCTGCACAAAGTTAGGGTGAAATCTGCTCCCTTAAATACTTGTTCATCCTTCTTATGACACTTTCTTTAAAGGGCTCCATGAATAGTAGATAAAATAAGTATCTAATGAGATATGGCAGAAACTCTGATTGAGCTAAACAGCACAGATTTGAATTCTAATAAATAAATAAATGAAGTAAAACATTTACTGCCAGCAACTATGTCAAGTTAGCCATAGGAAACTGTAGCTCTGCAGCTGGAGAAGGGCAATACTCTGCAAGCCAGAAAAGCAATGGAACTCCTCCAGCTTTGATTATTTATGGTGTGATGATGAAGGAACAACTTTCCATGTGAGGAACAGCTTTAAAGTCGAACAGTGAAGCTGAAACAGAGATTTAATGAAAAATCAGAGGGGAACAAAACTACAGCTACAAAAACAATAACATTCGGTTTAACAATTTAAAAACATAATTTATGTGCAAAACCAGATGTTAACTTGTCCAGCTTCAAGGTAAACAGCAAACTGTATTCATAATAACCCTTCTGCTGAACAGCAAACACGCACTACTTAATGTTGTTGTCTATAAAGGCTCACTTCCTACCTCCAAATGTTATCAAAATGAACAAAAATGCAAAACAAACACATCTTAAACAAAGGACACATCTGTATTTAATGCAAAGCTATTTTCAAAAATCCCAACCTTTCATAATCTACTATAATCGTAATAGCCTGAAACATAAGAATGCTTTCAGGCTCAGAAAAAAGGCTTCTAATTTTAAACATTTATGAGGACACTGAGAAGAGGCTTAGAACCATGCTTTAAAACATGTTTTCAGGCTTTAAACTGCTGAAAGCTGAGACCTTTACCATTTTGCCTGGACTACAGAAAGGGAAAGGAGCACAAAAACATGATGAAAAGAACCGTACATGAAAATTTCTATTAAAAAAAATGCAACTGACTCCCTCTTCTCAAAGCCTTTCCTCCCCTCCCCACTGCACCTCCTTCTCACTGAAAGGCACTGACTCCTCTTGCCTGATGACCACGACCAAACAACTCATCTACATCACTGGCTCTGATGCACCACTGTTTTTAATAAATGCTTTTTGAAAATATTTTTAAAGGACAACTCTGCCATCACTGGTGCTGTTCCTGAACAGGAGGGACTCTGTCTCAGCACTGCATTCATGTCAGCTCATTTTAAACTATACCACGGGACATGTGATTATGCAAGAAAGGTGATTTGATGTTAATTCTAAATAAAGAACACGATCAAATCTTTTAAATGGTTTTTTTTTCCCCAACTCTTAAAATGCATGTTGAGGGAATGAACTTCCCTTTGATGTAGTATAACTATATGGGAAGGAGGCATTGTTCTCACATTTCTGTTTCAGGGAAAACATCATGCTATTTGATTTTTAAAGTTGAAGGATTTAACTTCAATTTGATTTTAAAGTTGGGGGGGTAAAAAATGCTTCTAAATGCAACACAGTCTACTAAGTTAAATATGGCTTCAGTTTGATATCAAACACTGACTTTAAAATTAACTATTCCCTTCCAAAAGTGCCCATGAAAATAAATATGAATATATTGTAGGCATTGAAAATGGGTGTGTCAAGAATAAGAACAAGTAGTATTTTACAGTAATTCAGCACAAAAAACAAATATACAAAAGCAAAGAAACAGCACAAATATGTATTAAAACAACATATAGTAGGAAGGAAGTTTTGAGAATCCACAGGGATTCTTCCACCTTACCAAGCACCTGTATAGTTCTATGAGCATTTTCTTTCTGTCTTTTATTATACTTGGCTCCTGCCCTATAGTTCATCTCCAGGGCAAAGCACCATGAAACAAGAAATTGCATTCAAAACTATTAGCTCATCAAAATTGCCTTTCTTGTTTAAAAACAAAACACATACACAAAGTATTGCAACAGCTTCTGGAATCCTATTCGGAAAGTCCAACATTTTTAGATCCCTTTTCATGTTCTCATCACCATAATTTTTGCAAAACAGTGAGAGGCAACCCAGGACATTTTAAGAATGACTCTTTCGTCATTGCAAACCCTCAATTATGGTTGACCACAGAGATGAACAGAGTAGTACTGTAGGGACAGTACTGGTGTATTTTTCAGCTTGCCCTCTAATGTGCTCTGACTTCCGCTGAACAGTGATGTAGTGATTTCTTAGACTGCCTCCTTTATTACTCCCAAAATAATTCAGTGGTACATAAGGCTTCGAGTAACAGCAGTTCAAACACCAATTTCAAACTAGATTCAATGGTTTCAATGACCTTTTTGTCAAAACTGAGCTCCAGAACTCCATCCCTTACAGCCTGACCAGACTTGCCCCCTTGGAGATGTGCTGCAATGGTCCTTACCCCTGCCTGCCCTGCTGCCAGGGATCACAGGATGCACTGCTCCTCTGCCACAGGCTGCTACAGCTTTGCTCCCTGGTAAGGGAATGGTTACCAGCTCCTGATATTGGAAGGTTAAGGTGTTGCACACAGTTCCTCCAGTACAGCAAATCTGGCAACACAAGTTGCCACAGATTTACAATTGAAGGAACAATTTCCCTTTAGAGCCAGACACTGGGTCAGCTGTAGAGGTACAGAAGTGATACACTGAGAGTGTTAAAGGCAGAGTGCTAACAGTGTTGGCAGTGATGTTGCTGTGACTGGAGGTGCAAGGAATACACTAAAAGTCCACTGTGAGACGTGCAGTCTATTGCAGAATGTCAGACTTCCCACAAGTAACCAATTCAGATCACTATTTTTAAAACAAACTTGTTCTTTTTCATAAAGCAGTCCAGCCTGGAGAGCTTCAACTTCATGGCCAGCAAATTCATCTTCAACCCAAAAAGCTACCGGCAAAAAAATGTATGTAGAGTTTTTATTTATAAAATACAAAATCTTTGCTATTTCCAGGACGGAATTTAACAACAAAAAGGTCTGCAAGCAATAAACATGGCTGAAGACACTGAAATCAAGGAAACCAGAATGAAAAGTTCTGAAATTACAGATCATAAAACCCTTGAATGCCAGCTGCATGTATGCACAAGTGACCAACAGAACTGCAGGGAAACATGTATTTACCACAAAATTTGGAAGCACGATTGGGACTGAAATTACACTTACAGTGGGTTTTGTCATTTCATTCAAGATCAAGATTGCTTCATATAAATTGATTTATTTCTGTGTGTACAGTATAATTTAACTCGAAAATCTTTTTCTTTGATGTTAACCATTAGTATTGGGTATTTGCTGCTATGAAGCTCCTTAAACACAAATATTAAGTACAGTGTTTCACAATCAGCTTCCAAGTACCCATCTGGAATGACACTGGATAAATATATTTTCTATTCACCAAAATAAAGATTAGCATAACTTTAAAAGAAAACCCAACAAACCCACCCAACAAAACTTTGAAGTGATACTTCTGTTGAGTTAGTTTAGCAAAACGGTGAAAAAATCTAAAAAATTTGCTAAGGTAGTTGATGTTGTTCATAGCATTGCAGAATTGAGCTTCAATATTCACCATTATTAGAAAATTCAACAATCCCTTCTTTTGATACTAAACTAAAAATTGTCCATAAAGTGGAAGGGTCTTCACAATTATGATGACTCTGCCAATGACTAAAAAGATCCTCTTTTTTTCCAAATAACTGTTTGCATAAAATGCAGTTATAGCCTGCTTTAGACCAAAATTCCATTTTCTTGCTTGCTGTACCAAACCCCATATTTTGCATCTCCTTGGTGGTTTCACCACTTCTTGCCTGAGTCACTTCGCCTTTTGGTAAAATATTGACATTATTTTGATGTTGAAAGTATATCTGTCTTTTCAGTTTTTGAAAAGTATAAAGCTCCTCCTCACGGGCACTGCATTTTGCTAAATGTCTTCTCTCGTTGTGCTGTTTCCAGAATTGGGTTGTATGTTTGATCAGTTCCCCTTTCGCTCCTTTATTTCCTTGCAAACCCCCTTCCTTTACTCTTCCCTGAATCTCTTCTCCATGACAGCACAGTAAGTGGAACTTCATTTCACCAAAAGACTGTGCAATAAACTGGCATTGGCCACATTTGACCTGTATTTTCACTCCTCCCGGGTTATGAAATAGGTCCTCAAGATTGCACTTATTTCCCCTGTTAAAAAGAAAGGAAATACAAACTATTTCAGTATTAGCCAGGCACAGAAGAGGGATGGCGATTTCTGTCATAAGTTCCAAGAAGAGATAACAGTCATAAAACACTTTTAATTAAAAATAAGCATTGTCTTTACAGTATCTAATTCATTTGGAAAAGAGGAAAAAAAAAAAGAAAGAAAATAATAGTAAGGTTGTTTAGGAAGCAACTGAAACCAAATGTTATTTGACACTTCTGAGTTTCAGAATTGCCTCCAAAATTAGCCTTAGTAGAAATAACCTTTTAACAACACTAGCCTTTTAATAAAAGGTTGATAACTTTTTTTAAAGTTCCTGATTCACTGAGATCAATCCAAATACTTCTAGTGCTGTGCTGGAAAAGTGAAAATGACTATTACCTGTAGTGTACTACTAAGAGAAATTCTTTGTTTACAGTGAATGTTCTAAGGTCAATTTAAGGCAAAACCACATGTCCCACCTCCCTTTCCAAGATGGAAACAATGAAACTTCAAAGTTTCTTGCTTTTTTTTTTCTAAAAGTCTGTAACATGGTTTAGAAAAGTCTGAATACCTAATTCACAATTAGACACCCCCTCTCCCTGACTCAGGACAACTCTGCAGTATAAAGGATACACAATCCCTGGTAACCTAAGCCAATCAAAACAAGATCTCCTCAGAAATCTTCTCAGAACATCTAGGAAAAGGATAATACTGTATTTATACACATTAGAGAGATTACCCAGTAAAACAGATAAAGTGAATGACTCACTTTGTGATGACTAGTAAGACTGACAGAAAAGTGCTGGTGTTTCTTAGGCTCAAGATATTAAAAATTTCTAACTGACGCCCCAGAGAGTGAAGCTATGCAAAGTAAAACGAGTAAAATTAAAATGTAGTGTTGCAGTGAGGAGTCACATTAAAGGCCTGAACGTTCTTCAGTTAAAGTAAATGCACAGTGGAACAAACAAAAAAGCCAACATTTATATTGTGTCAAGAAATTTCACCCCAAAATCACAATGCAGTGGTAAAAGAAGGTTCTATCCATCCTAATATGGTAAATATTAACTTTTCTACTTGGCTGAGCGATGGCAAAAGCAGCAGTAATCAACACACAAGATGGATTAGCTCACAACACTCCACAGAAGGAAATGGGATAATGACATTTAACAGGGAAAACAAACTATAAGCTAATAATGAAATATGAATCACTTCTTGCTTACTGCAGTTGGTTCACTTGTCTTTTAGGGAAACCCTCAAAACAGGTAGGACAGAAGACAGTGCAGATTAACAGAGTATTAACCAACTGATCCAAACAGCTCCAATGGCAATATTACTAGAATATATGCAAAATTACTTTGGATACTCAAGTGTCAGTAATGATTTATAGTCAATAAATCAGCTAAAATATACTGGATGGTCTAATGGATTGACTAGATTCAAGGACAATATTTAAACCATTAGGAATCTCACTTGGCAGGAGGGGAAGCAACAATTTTCCTAATGGTGATGTTTATGAATTTCCACTGACAACCTGAAATCCTGTTTCCACTAGCATTTAATTAGTGAAAATGCTCACCTCTCTGTAGCTTCTTCTGTCTCTTTTATATTCGTGTCTCTCTTCTTTAAAGCATCTTGCATCTGTTGCTCACTAGGAGAGGGCTCAGTGCTGATAACAACCCTGTGGACTTCTCTGAGGTGGCCAAAATACACTTTTGCATGGCCAAAAACTTTAGCACAGAATTCACAGCACACCAGTTTTTTGGGTTTGCTTTCACTGTGATGAAGCTTCATATGTGTGCTGAGCCTCCCAGAATGGATATACGCTTTCCGGCAAATCCGACAGCTGTAGGGCCGTTTCTTCATGTGTGAGTTCATGTGGTCCTGGAGATGGTGTTTGAACTGGAAGGTATGGTTACAAACAGGACATCTGTGCAGTGGCTTAGGTGTGGCTGAACATGCATTTCTACTTGAATCACTTGATTTAGCTGATGTAGCATCACTTTGCTTGTAACTCAAATATTTGCTGGCAAGTGAACCATTTAAAGGAACAGCTTGCTCTGAATGGACATGAGGTGGTGTCTCTACTGTTGCTGGAGAAGTCAGGGGTGTGAAGGTCTGCACAACTACCACCGGTTTCGGTCTAATACTACGGTATTTTTTCACTGCTTCTGCTTTTTTGTCTTCAGGTGTCTGAATATCAACCGTCTCCCTCTCTCTTCCTTCTCTAAACTTATTAATGATGCATTTCCTTCGCTTGGTCTGAAAAGCCAATAAATCATCCGAGGCTCTTCTTTTCCTGCCTCTTTTTTTAGAGGCCGCACTGTTCAATTTTTTAAGACTGTCAACATCCACTTCACTGGACGGAGAGAAGGTGTTTTCTCGAACAGTTTGTTTGGGGACTTGTGTAGATGATACAGCTAATTGCTTATCAGATGCTTTGGTTTTTGTCAAAGCTGGTGTCTTTTCACATTCAGATCTTAGTGAAGGACCAGATACATCCATAACATTAATATTCTGCTTAGATTTACAAAACAGTGAATTTTTCATCCTTGAGTAAGGCAAAATAGGAAGTTTTCCTTTTGGTGCTGATGGATTCATCTGTATTGTGCTGCCAAGAACTGCCGGTGACAAGACAGCAACAGGATTTGCAGAATTTGTGGGTTTTTCCTTTTGTTTCTCATATGTCGTGACTGACTTTCTTGTGGTTTCCGATGCTGTCTTCACAGAGCGCAGACTTAGTTTCGGGGGATTAATTGTACTTGCTGGCTTGGATAAAGAGTCTTTAACTACAGACGGTACAGAAATCTTATTGTTAGCAATTTCAGTTTTGTTCATTAAAGGAGGTCCAGATTCCACACAGTTGCTTTTATTTACTACTGTGGCAACTGCAATTTCAGATGAGTCACAGTCTGTCAGCGTTGCTTGCTCAGTTGAATCTGAACTAGAGTGAGTTTCAGGACAGTCTTCAGTTACAGTAGTCACAGGGGAAGTCTGTGATGAGACCAATGCTTTTGTAGGAATCTTCTTATGTGCACCCAAACCAGAGATTTTCGCCAATTTTTTGTCACCTAGCAATTTATTCCTTACAGACTGGTACCTAGGGATAGGCAGCTTTAGGTTTTCAGAGGGGGCCACATTTGACTGCTGGGCTTGCTGTGTTAAAGCAGGAGCAACATATGGCACAGCCAGTAGGGAAAATGTCCCCTCCTGACCAGCCACCTGCATGACAGTGTAGTTCTGAGCTGGTACCACCAGTGGTTTAGAACCTGCAGCTGAAATCGGTGTGTTTGGCTCAGGCAAAGAAGACTGAAGACAAGAAACGACTCCAGGTGTTAAAATTTTTGGTACCATTTTTGGAGCAATGGTCCTAAACTGACTTTTCTTCTGAAAACTTTGTATTATATCCGAAGGGGGTTTGTGTTTATCTGTAAAAACAACGCAACAAAGCTGTAATATGAAATATAGTATTTCTTTTTAAAAAATTACTCTCTCAAAACTAAAACTGCTTACAAAGGATACTATTACACACAAACTTACTAAAAATATTTTGGCATTTAAAAGGCCACCATGTTAAATTTATTACTGAAAAAGTTGCGTGGACAAAACAAAAGCATTGCCTGAAGTAATGTGCTTGAACACAGATATGCAAAAAAACCCCAAAACCCTCTTAAATGAATGTTTCATTCTAGGTTAGAAGCTACATGGCATTTCAGAACAAATACCCCCATAAGCCTCTTCAGCCCTGGAAAAGCTGGACTAGCATGCTGGCAATACTCAGTTGGAAGAACAGGGACAGGACACAGAACTTTTCTGAGCACCTACTCTGTTCATATCTCTCAAACAGAATCATGCTATCTTTCAAAATTTCTGTAATGGTTAGAATTTGTGGGTTTTATCAGATAAAGACCACAGTTTGCCTGATGAAGTCTTAAAAAATAACTGCTATAAACCACGTAAATAATATATAATAAAATCAAAGAAGACTTGAAAGAAGATGTACTATTGTTAAATATCCAATCACAAATATTGCTTATGTGCCATTAGTGCTTAATAGAACTACTGTAGTAAGTTATTCAAACATTTTCTTGAAAGATGCCAACAATCTTGACCATTGAAAATTCAGCTACAAAGATCCCAAGCAGTAAGGCACCTTGGGAAGGCAAAAATCACTTTGAGGGAGGAATCACATTAGAACAGAATACATAAAAGTAAATGCTGGAACCTTGTAATATTGCAGTAAGGTAATTCCATAGGAAAATTTCTGTTCCCTGTCATTTTAAAGACTCGTATTAAAAATGCATTTATATATGGTTCTGGACTTAAAAAGGTAACTGTGAATTACTAAAAAACACTGGCAACTCCAGAAAGTTTATCATCTTAACTCTGGATGCTCTTCTCAGACGTCACACACTTTGCAACATGCACTGAAAGTTACAGACATATCCCGTTTCATGACCAGAACTCCTGGACAGATATACATGCATGTTCATGGTATGCACATGTGCAGTAAATCCACTGCCGTCAGGACACAGAGGATTCACTGAACAATCAAATATAAACTGTATAGTTCATACACAGTGGGTCTGATGCTTATCAAAACTCTTCGATCCACAGCAGATTCATAGAGCAATAACTACACAGGGCATAAGCCTTTGATCCTTTTATTGCCATCTACAGTATCAAACCCCAAGTCCATTATGTACCTTCTTTATTCTCCAATTAAGTGAAACTACTGGGCACCACCAAAACTTTCTGCTCAATGTCTGTAGAGATATTCTATATTTCTAGACATTCTGTGCAGACTGGGTTACTGTACCTATGGAAATCCTACACAAATATAGAGATCCCTGTACACAGGGATAAGTCCAGGCCTACAGAGTTTGTGAAACCTGGAAAAAAATGAAACCTGGCACAGTTAAAATTGTTTCCCCACAGCTCTTTTTATTCTCTTTTTTTTTTTTTTTTACAATCTACAGTCACTAAGTATATAGAAAACTTTACATCTTCAGCTGCTAAGATTGCTATTACTATTCAGATGATTATTTGATTCCTGCAGGGTATCTTCTTGTTGCTGCTTTTGAGTGAACACTTTTAAGAACCTCTGAGAAGAACAATAAAATGATGCAAACTATTGCAATCACTAACCAAACTAGCCCTGAACTTCAATGGTAGTTACAGGTCAAATAGTATAGCTTAAATACAGTAGATGACAGAACAAATGTCCTTTCCTTTTAGGGACAGAGTCAGCTCTTATTTTTCCAGATTACACTTGCCATACGCTTATAATAAAGACTTTCTCCAAACCAGCAGCTATTCAGCTTGCCAATATATTCCACATGAAGCTGTTTCCATTCTCTCTCCCATTTGGCTTGTTCCTCTCTCTTTGTATTTCAAAATTTCATTCATTGATTTACACAAAATTTTTAGGAAGGCCAGCACACCTGTGCTACTCGATGTTACAGGGCATCTGCTCCCCAACCAATGGTAACAGGAAAAGGCAGATGTTTTGTTCTGGACATGCCACTTCTACAAAGGTGCCCAAAGGCAGTCAAAGCACCACAAAATAAAGGTTAATTTGAGGTTAGGAGGAAATATTCGTAGAAATAATGCACGGTACTAGCTTTAAAAAGAACCACATGTTTCTCAAATGCATTGACTTGCTTACTGTAAAATTAATCAGTAAAATCACTTTTCTATAAAGAGGGTATCTCCACATATTTTCTCAGTATTCCACAAGAAACTAATGCTCTAGAAGCCAAGACCTTCATGAATATCAACCACAAAATACTCTTTAAAACAAGGTCTGTTTAGATCAATGTCCTTCTTATGCAGCTAACACAATACTAAGCATCAACGTAACTGTTTGAGAAGGGGTTTTTATATACCTTTTTTCCAACTGGTGTAATTTTATCACAAGACATCTTCCAGGCAAGCTGTTTGCTATCAGCCTTCAATATAACTTTTTTTTTCCCAAAAAAATTTATATTAGACAGTTTAGTGCAGAATATTCATCACAGTGCTTTGAGTAAGCAAAGGATACTCAATTCTTTGAGTTCGTTTCCCTCTCATCCAACACAGCTACTGTAGTTAAGCTGCTTAGCCAGTGCCTAAATATAGGGAAGGGCTAGATGCAGACTAGCTGTAGGATATCCTTCAGACTTGTTTAAGATTTTGCGAGCAGACTGGGAAAGCTAATTGGAAGAACTGGTGGAAGACTATTTAACATCTTGGATCATGACAAAGCAGCCAGTTAATTCACAGACTGAAGGTTCTACTGACCCCACCCAGAGCGTGCGAGTATCGTCAGCGACCAAAATTATGCTTGCCATTTACAGCTGGTGAAAAGTTTCAACAATTTCCTTTGCACAAAGACAGCCCTACAGTAATTCATGTCTTCACCACACTGGAGGACTTGGATATTGTCTGGTTGTCTGGCTAGTGGAAAGGCTGCTTGGAAACTTCATATGCGTTTTTCAGGGACATTCCACGTCTCCCAAAGTTTTTCTGTCTCTGATTCAAAGGACTCACTTTGACTTGACAGCTGTGACCTGAGGAAAGGCCTTTGTGCCTATGCAATCCCATGGTGTCATGCACCTAAGAAGGGGAAGTTTCAGTTAAGGGAGGCTCTGCAATGGCATTTGTGAAGATGGCCTTTGGTTTTGGACAACATTCTTTCTTCAAGTCAGTCTACAGGTCCTTCACTGAAAGGCAATGATTTTTATACTTTCTCTAGAATGAAAAGATTAGCATTAATATCGGAAGGACATGAAGCTTATTTTTAATTGCTGTGTCCTCAGTCTTTCAGATGGGTGTGGATTTGGGGCAACAGGTACACACTTTTAAATAATTAAGCACAAGGCTAAATCAAATGCAATTCAACCCATTTACTTTAAAAGTCTCTGTTAAAAGATTAATGGTTACTATGATAGGACCTGCAAGTATCAAATCACTCAGAAACCTGCAGCATGTCATAACCTTTCATCCCTTCTAAATAACCTTAAACTTGTATAGGAGTGGACAGTGACACACCAATAGAAAAATCAATGACGCATCCAATTCTCTGATATAGCCATGCAGGGAAGAGTCTGCCAGAGGAAAGGGAGTCTTCCATGGGGCTGCTCTTCCTCGGTGGTTCCCCTTCCTTCCTAAGTAATCCAAGTCTAGTCTACTCCAGTCTGATCTGCCTTACTTCTGTCCTTTCTTCAGTTTGTTTTCTCTGTAAAGCACGTAACATTGCTGAACTCAGACACTCTAGAAAGCATCAGAAGAAATTTAATTTTCACCACTATCTGGTCTATTTTAAACATAACCACCAAAATGCCACAAACCACTGGGTAACAGTGTTAATTTTTTTTAATAATCCTTGTAGGTCCACCTCAGTTGTGCAGGTATGCATTTAATTTGTGTATGAATCGACAAATGAAAGGCAAATAACACAAAAAAAGATCACCTTGTTTTAAAGGAAAAGACAAAATATAGATAAAGAAGGTTATTGAAATATTTTATTAAATGCACATTTCTATTGCTGAGTCTTTTGCTGACTTTGAAAGGAAGAATCTGTTCTATGGGAAAGAAAAAAATTCACAACTTTCTAACAGACAACACTAGATCTTTTTCTGCCAATGACAGTTAATCATTCATTTTGCCAAATCTCCATACACACTAAATACCTGTGGATACTGTCTTTCCAGCACAAGTTTCTTGCTTTTGCTGACCCAGCATACTTTGTTGGACACAATGTTTCTCTGCAGGATTAGCATGCAAAAAACCACCACCTGCAAAAGTGCTTCAGTCAGTTATAAATAGATTCCAGGACAAAAAAAAAGAACCAAACAACCCCCAAAACCAACAAACCCCAGAAAAAGACAATATAAAATGACAATATAAAACATTAACTTCCAGTCAATGCATTAGAAAAGCTACTGCTTCTTGCTCTTTGCCATTTTTCTCTCCTCAAAATATGTTCTAAAATCCAATATATTACATGCCAAATACAAGGTGATAGCTTAATAATTGAGTAAAGCTGGTTAACGTGGCAAACAGATGGGATGGTTTAGTTTCAGTGTCATGGCAGACAGTCAACAGCAGCAAAATAAAAAGCTCAGAAAAGTGAAGGTTCAGTAGCTTTAGTGAGGGTTTTAAATACAGGGGTTAAATTCTATGCTAATTTACATTGCCATAAATAATTTCTATGCTAATTGCCATAATTCCATATAAATCAATGGAACTGTAGATATTCTAGAAAACAGAATTTGGCCTTCTATGTTCAAAACTAGTTTTTCCACACACCTATACAAAAATAAGATTGGTAATAAAGCCTATAAACCATGAATGTCCAACTCCATACATTACAGCAATTAATTTGCAGTTCTTTCTACCTTTTCTAATAATAACTACTTGGGTGGAATGCTCTGTTCTGGGTATTTGCATCAGATAATTTTCTAAAATTAATTTCAACAGGAAATGCCAGCCATTGCCAGGTATGTCTGCATTTAAAAAAAATAAATTAAAGAAAAGAATCTAGTAACACATCTGTGCATTAGGTAAAGACCTTGATATGTGACACAGCAATGTCTCTCTGGTCTGTGAAAAGCTGCCAACATTTGGCAAAGTTGTAAGCTCTGGGCACGTGTTCAATAGATACTTTAAGCAGCTAATTTTTCCAATGATTACATTCTATTGAATGTGCCTCTGCTTCAAGCTGGGCTGGATTTTCCCTGAGCTATAGCTTTAGGTCCAAACACCGAAGCTGGAACAAGGAAATGGCCTCTCCTTATCTCTGAACTGCAGAACTGACAGTGTGGAAGAGAAACACGGATATACACAGGGCAAGCAAAAAAGGACAAGAGGACTAGAAATGAGACCTGAAAAGTGTCCAGGACAAAGAGTCAGGGTGGGATATGGGAATCACACACCGACTTAAGACAGGTAACCAACATTACTATTACATGTGATTTGGAAAGGAGAAGCATTCAAGCCAAAGGGAGAATCACATTTCTTACCTTTTTAGTACTTGATTTTTCAAAGAGTAATATAATTATGTTTGCATAAGAGCACTTTTGTGCAATTTAAACTAGTTTAGAAAAATAAACAATATAACAGTACTCTAATGTGAGATTGGAAAATCACAGTACATCATTCACACAAACACTAAGCTATAGAATGTGCAAATACACTTAGAAAATTTATTCTTGTAAACTACAGGAGGAACAAGATCACTGTTAAAATTCTAGACGGGAATATTAGACCTCTTTGAAGCAACAGATAATTAATTCTGATTTGAGCATAAATGCAATTTGCTAGTTGTGCACTGAGTATTTTATAATTTAGAAAGGTTTTCTCTATTTTACGGTCTGTGCAAGTTTATTATCTTGAGGGATTAGGATTATAGTGCATTTCAAGAAACTCTGTGAGCAGTGGGATGCTTCCTGGATTCCTTAAATGGTCACCAAAAGACTCCTCTTAGCAGAACACATTACAATAACAAAGGTACACAATAAAAAATTTTTTTTTACATTAACTGGACTCCATTGAAGCAGATGTTCCACATTAAAATTTCTAGTGACATTTTTTTAGTGTGGGAATAAGGTAAAACTATTTTTGGCATAAACTGTCACCTTGCAGAGATAAGTCATACAGTAATCCATGACCATGGGTACATAGTTCATATTTCACAGAATCACAGAATCACGCCAAGTTGGAAGGGACCCACAAGGATCATTTAGGGACGTTCTTCAGTTTCCTGCCTAATTCAGTCTTCTGGTTTTGCTAGAAACATCCTTAATGCACTATTGATCATATAATGACATAAGCCAAAGTTTGCACAGATCTAACACAACTTATGAAAAAAAAAGATTACACCACTTTATCAATTTCCAGAATTGCTTTTCTCTGTTGTTTGAAAGTATACGTAGCATTTGCTTCATTATTGTGCTGTCATCTATCTAGACTTCTGTGAGGCCTTTGATATGTTCCTCCTCAACATCCTGTTCTCTGATTTGGAGAAGTACAGATTTGATAGATGGTCTATGGAATGGATAAGGAAGGGGCTGGCCGGTTGCAGTCAGAGGGTAGTGATGAACAGCTCAATGTCCCTATGGAGATCAGGGATAAGTGGTGTCCCTTAGGGGTCTGTACTGGGACTGGTGCTGTTTAATATCTTCATCAATGACAGAGACAATGGGATTGGATTGAGTGCACCCTCAGCAAGTTTGCAGGCAAAACCAAGCTGAGCGGTGCAGTTGACACGCCTGAAGGAGGGGATGCCTGAGGGACCCAAACAAGATCAATAAGGTGGCCCACAGGAATCTCATGAGTTCCTGCACATGATCAGGACAGTCCCTGGTATCAATACGGGCTGGGGGATAAAGTGATTCAAAGCAGCTCTGCTGAGAACTTGGGGGTACTTGTGGATGCAAAACTGAATATGAGCTGGTAATGAGCACTCGCAGTCCAGAAAGCCCATCGTGTCCTGGGCCACATCAAAAGCAGCGTGGGCAGGAGGTCAAGGGGGATTCTTCCCCTCCACTCCGCTCTTGTGAGACCCCACATGTATCCTGCTCTGGGGTCCTCGGCACATGAAACACATGGACCTGTTGGAGCAGGCTCAGAAGAGGGTCACAAAAATCATTAGAAGGATGGAACACCTCTTCTATGAGGAAAGGCTGAGAGAGATGGGGTTGTTTAGCCTGGAGGAAGCTCCAAAAGACCTTATTGCGGTTTTTTAGTACTTGAAGGGGGCTTAAGACAAAGACAGTGAGAGACTCTCTTACTGTGCCTGTAGAAACAGGACAAAGCACAGTGGTTTTAAACTAAAAGAAGGCAGATTCAGACTAGATACAAGAAAGCAATTTTTACTATGATCTGCCAATCAATCTCACCAGCATCTTGCTTTCAGTATCTCTGCCCTCAGAGGAAAGTGCAACATAAAACAATACCCATACAAAAGGAGACTTGTTAAACGAAAGTTAATACATCAAGATATCAATGCATTTAGTCACTACATTATCAGCATTAGCAACAATAATACGCAAGGAGGTAATTTTTGATTTCTAATAGATTTAGATTTCATAGATCTCTGCACTGTCCCGATGCAAGTAACTTTTAAAATATGTATGAAATACTACTTCTATAGGGACTAACAAGTGGCCAACAGCTTTGAGGTAACCTTTTTGAGTTGTAACATCAGATGTATTAGCCACACAGGTAAATCAATATTCAAAAATAACATCCTATATAAAATGTGGGCAATGCAAGGCTTAACGCAACCTCCTATTAAAAAAGCCTTTTTTGTGCTACTGTATAAAGGAACAAAGTCTTTAAAGTCCTTCCTAAGAGACAGAACATATATACATAAGAGGTTTTTAGACACTTTTGCTATGGATTTAGAATACATTTATTAGCAGATCTACATGCTCTCTTAACACCTCTCATGCAGTGTTTGTGAACTTTAAAAGCTTTCCAATTTTTTTGAAGGGACAGTCTTTCAAGTTATAAGCTACTCATTTCTTATTAAGGTCAACAAAATTAATAGGTCTTAAGCAGATCAAAATATTTTCATATCAAGAAAACTGACATAAAGAGAGCTAGACATAAAGCATCTGTAATTACTAATAACTTTTTCCACCTTTACAGCTGAAATCACACACAGACTTTTCCCACTATGGCACTAAGAGAACTTAGGAATGAGGTTTATGTAGATAAATCTATGGGCTCAAAATGGTGTCTGGCCTCTGCGACCACACAAATCGCTATTAAATTTAATTTCTATTTAAGCCTGGAACTTCTGTCTAAGAGACATTGTTTGATACATCATTAAAGACTGTGTTTCAGCTTCTATATGCCTCTGCTAGTTTCAGCAACCAAATACGTCAACTTTCAAGTGGGCATTATCTAGAAACCATGCTGCCCTGAGAGAATGCAATAGAGAAGAATGCAAATCTGGTGGTTATCTTTTTTGGTTTTGGTTTTGTCCAGTCATTCTGTTCCATAGAGGACACAATCCCCTAAGACTTGCAAAGCAAGGTTGCAGTGATGCAGCCACTTGGGGGAACTAATTGTTCAGAAAATAGCTGAAAGGATGTGATAGAAGCACTGGTCATAAACTCGTAATTCATAACCCTCCAATAGCGTTGCAAATATAAATTAGGTACTTTAGAAGGTGGGGATAAACACTTGTAATTGGATTTTTAAAAATTATTTCCTGGGAGAGTTGCCAGTTGAAATTTCTTTTAGTGAGCATCAGGAAAGATATGGACCTAAACAGTAATTCATCCACTGTAAAGTCAATGTCAGTGTAAAGTCACTTCTAAAGGGTGTGTTGATCAAATCAACCTGGACGGTATCTCGATATGCCTAATGTAAGTGGTAATTAATAGACTTATTTTTTCTTAAGTGCAGGAAACAATAATGACCAAGTCTGCTAAAAAAATGATGGCAGAATTCTTCAGAAACTATGCAGTACAAAAAGGTCAAGTAGAAACATTTTATGAATAAATCATAAAATCTTTTCTCATTAGATTTTTGCTCTCCTTTCAAAGAAGAGAACCTATCTACATCTCTACCCTCCTTAGGACAGAAAACACATATGTCTTATTGCAGTAAGAAAATTATGCTTCTTACTCCCCAAATTAATTTTTTTGCAAATACTGATGTGCAATTAGAGAGCACAACAGAAGAGCAGAAGTGTTATTCCTTCCATAGAGCACCACTTTTTGGTTTTTGGTGAAAATCAGAGCACTTCTTTCTAAAGAAAGACTGTATGCAAGAGAAAACAATTAATTTGCCAGTTTGGCTCAATAGAGCAAATATATTTTACCTGAGGTATTAAAAACCCATAGTACGAACCTCAGAAAGTGCTCTCTCATTCAAGATGAGCAGAGAATCAGAAGACTGTCTGGCTTGGCCTGGCCTGTTTTGAGTCCTCTGTTATGAACTATACACAGTTTATCACTCCCCAAAGAAAGGGCCAGAACAATTGTTGAACTTCAAGGATAGATGGTATTTCCTGAGGGATTTTGTAAATAGCTCATTTCTCTTGAAAATTACCTAAGTGGTGTAAGTTTTGAATGGGGAATCTCTGTCCAAGGTTTCTGTTTGCTCTAGCTGTGCCCCCTTTTCTTTCTCCATGACCCAGATGGCTTCAGAAAAAGACTCTCCAGCTCTGGCTGAGGTATGCAAAACATTGCCACCTGTAGTTAATTCCACTGAAGATTAAAACAAAAATAAACATTAGAGAATCTCTACAGTACTTCAAATAGGTACGTATATTTTTTTGAAATACAGACATGGTCCTGTATAGCACAGGAAAATTAAAACATCTTCTCAAATACATCTCCTGGCTAGGCAGACATCAGTTTTCAGAACATATAAAATTATCACTTGCTGCTGAACCCAAACATAGCTAGGTCTTACTGACAGTAGCATGTAGCAAAAAACAATTTAAATTACAGTATCTGATTGGTTTTCCTCCCCCTGTGCATAATTACAATTATTTGCAAAGCTTATTGGCATTGCTAAGCTTGCTAGTCACTTTGCTGTTTAAAGGCAGCACTGGTTCTCTAAACAAAGTAGTAGATGTGCTGTAAAGGAACTACCGAATACACTGCTGAGAGGTGATATTGTGTCAGCAAACACTGGCAACGGTGGCAGCACACGAGGGAATGGAAACAGGAACGCAGTCAACAGGAATGTAGGCCAAAGATTATATCCTTAGCTTGATGTGTGCCGAAATATCAGTCCATTTCTAATTAAATTCACGTGTGTCCGGCGGGTGCTGGCAGACAAAGGAGCCCCTCGGTGCCGAGTCCAGCAGGGGGAGTTGGGCGCCCATGGCCGCAGCCTCCGGCCACCGCCGCGCCGGGCGAGTCCTGCTGCCGCCGGGAAGCCACTGCGGGCACCTCCCGTTCCCCAAGCGCCAGCTCGGTTTGGATCTGCAACTCGCGTCGACTACCCTACGGTACTTTTCAAACAGCAGACAGGCTAAACTATTTCTCTAATGGTTTTGTAACGCTAAATATGGCTCGTCCTGAAAAATTCACGAAGTCACGGAATCTTGTACAGCACCGCACACAACCTCCAAACAACTCTGGGATGAGTTCAGTTAGTATTTCAAAGCATTCTACCGCTGCAAACTTTTCAGTCAATTCCATGTTTTCTATAACTTGAGAACATCCTGAAGCAAAGCAGTTGAGCTTGCCTGTTTAAAAGTAATTACTCCTATTAGACTATTCAGTATCTTCTATAACTGCAGTACAATTATTGTGCAGGAGATTAAAAAAAAAATCCTTTAGTGATTTTGTGTTAATCCAGTTGATGTCCTAAATGGTATGTCCATGTTACTAGAAGCACCAGTATTTATAATAGATGTTCTTCTTTTGGCAGACATATGAAAGCAAAGCACTGTTACCAATATATTTTCCCATCCCAAGGAATACCCCGGAATCTTTGTGAAACTTTCTCGCTTTCATCACTGCTCAGCTCATCACACAAACCATCTGCATAAATAAAGATGTAAGCATCTGCTGTATGGCAAATGGTCTCAGGGGCAGATGTTTTTATCCTTGCATTCATGTCACTGGCTTGGATACATTATTTGAACAGATGTACACAATCTGAAAGTGTCGTGTCCCACAGTGAAATGTCTCCAACTGCTTTCTATCAAAGTACATAAATGCTATTTGCACCTGCATTTATGTTAATGATATAAAGGCAGCAGGGGTTCCAGCAACGTGAGAGCTGGTGCTAAGAAACACATTTACATGGCTAATTGAAGTTTGAGATCTCCCAGCACCAAATGACCATACTAACATGGATACAAAATGACTGAACTATACATTAACTTTAAAAAAAAGCCTATGGATTTAAAAAAAAATTAAAATAAACATACTCAAGGAGAAAAACTATTACTTCAGCTGGTGATATCCTTCTCCAATGTATACTTAAAAAAGACAAAAAGTATTAAATAAATTCCTAGGTAAATCAAGATAGCCTTATATTTTGCAAAAGATACACAATTATTTCATGTCAGAGTCATTTAAAAAAACATTTCATAAATCTGACAAGGCCAAAGGTTTTTCAGTTCACTGAGGCACACTGGTATTTTATGTCATTATTGAGCATTGTAAAAAAACCCCATCACTTGCTCTGGTAAATATTTAACATGAGTGTGAATGACAGAATATGATGCTTCAATGATAATTTCATAATTCCTAGGAAAAAAAAATAAAATCTGAGAAGTTAGATATTTATCATTATTCAGAAAAGTGCATATATATTTGAACATGGAGTTATGATTGCTTGTTATATAAGAGATAATCACCTTTCTTCCCAAATCTTCGTTCGCGAAGCCTCGCCATGAATCACCTTTCTTATAAAATATTTTAAATTGAGAAAAATACAGATGTCCTGAAGGAGTACAGATCCAATTACAGAACTCCTGCTCTTACATGACAAATCGCAGCAGTGAAGGGTTTATGCTGTCACTCAAAGAACTTGCACTAATCATTACTTCCATACTTAAATGAAAAATAACAAGCACTTTTGAAGTATGGAAACACTGACAAAAATGCTATAATGCATGTAACTGATGGATAGGTTCTACTGTGAATATCATTTATTTTCAAACCTTTTATTTGTAAGGAACACACCAATGTTAGACATGTACATAAACCATTATAAATTGCTAATAGCCTCCATATTTTCAAAGTGCCAAATTTGAGAAACAAGTGGTGTTTGATGCAAAGACAAAAAAGCATGAAAGTAAAAGAGTAAAAAAAATATAGATACTAATATATTTGTAGAATATCATCGTTTCACACTGATATAGTTCTGGGTCATGATCTAGCTATGACTTCTAAAATGAATGCTCACTTCCAAAGTCTACCATTCACTCCGGGTGCAAGTTGATAACACTGGATAATACTGACTGGAATGGATTTTGGTTTAGGGGGAAAAAAAAGCCTTCGAAAAAACCTCAAAGCAAATGATTAATCAGTTTCAAGTTTCAAACGGCTTCACAGTCTATATTCTCCTCCTATTATTCAGAAATGGCTTTAACATAAGACTGTAACCAGGGTCAAATTCCTGTTACTTAAAGGAAAAATTAAATTAAGGCTTTTAAGTGTTCAAATGAAGTACTTCAGTCACGAGCATACAGATGTAGAGCACACTGAGGGGTGGACAGCTTTACCCAACAGTAAGTACTATCTCCCTTGAAAGAATAGTCCCATTAGACACAGAACTCATCAACTAACATCAATTTGCATGACATGCTTCAGGAACCACTTCCTCAGAATTATTACAGCATCGTAAAAATACTCAGTCTTCACAAAACAGGTAAAGTATAAACTTACATGACACTAAAAGCTCGAGGCTTCAAGTTAAGTAATATATAGTGCTTTTCTTAATTAACATAAGTACTAACAATGGAAACTTAACTGACAACCAGCAATGGTTCTGAAAGATCCATTAGAGCAGATGTCATATCCATCAAACATTCACTCACATTTAAGAAGCATCATTAAAAATGACACTCATGTTAAAAATCATATTTAAATGTCAGCATTGTGACAGATCAAAAGGGAAAGGAAACTGAAGTTACAGCTACACATTTAGAGGCTTGGGAATACACAGTTCAGAAATAAGATCCTTACTAATAATGGAAGGAAAAAAATCAAGACACAAACCCTACTGAAAACTATATAAAACAAAAGTCGACTTTTGAAGAGACAAAACATGGAACAAAGAGTTAAACACAAAAAATGTTAGTAAGGATAGGAGTGCTGGAGAAAAGGCATTCAAAATAAAAAAAAAAAAGGTCTAAGTTAATGTTTATTTTCTTGTTTCTCCTAGTCTTGTAGCACAATTTGGAGATAGATTTGACCCCATATTATATGGGGATCGAATATAGCAATGATTTTCAAATATATGAGAATTTAAAAAAATGTAATAAAACTTGAACACAATTCTGCTGAATCAAACAAGAAGCAGATTTATGCTTTTCAAGTTTCACCTACAGGTGGTAACAGTAATTAGCAATGCCCTAAAGAAGAAAATAATTCTAGATATTGCAATTGTTTAAAGTGATAAACGCTGCAGTATAACGGTTTTTTTTTTAAAACCATACTACAGTAGAATAGTAGACAAGAGTCATACAGCAATTACTAAGGATGAAATTTCTTCCACATTTTGAATCACAAGCATCTAATTTCCAAAAGAAGTATAGAAAGCATACTATACCTGCAGAAATTGTTAACGGATTCTGCATTATATCCTTTAATGGTTACGGCAACGTTCCTGGAAAGAAATACAGATACTCAGAGGCTCTGATAATTTTTCAGAAACTAACCAAAAAATTAATAGGACGATGGCAACAGTTTCCAGACTTGTATTTCAGAACGGATATCAGTATGTCCATATCTCATGCAAAATCACCACCAGAGAGTTTTAAACCAAGCATTTCTTTGGGCTCTTATATGCACTCTCCATATTTCAATACTGTGCACTACTAACTTAGGCTTCTTGTAATTAAAACCTCCTGTTAAAGCCAGGAAAGAGGGAATGTAATGAATTCCAATGGGACAATGCATTCTTAAGAATCACACACAATGTACGGTCATTTTCCTTTAAACACCTGTTGGACCTGTTGGAGAGGCTCCCAGAGGAGAACCACTAAGTTGATCACAGGGCCGGAACACCTCTCCTATGAAGACAGGCTGAGAGAGCTGGGGATCTGAAGAAAAGAAGGCTCCAGAGAGACCTTAAAGCACCTTCCAGTACCTAAAGACAGCCTGCAGGAAAGCTGGAGAGGGACTTTTTACAAGGGCACATACAGATAGGACAAGGGGTAACGGCTTTAAAGTGAAAGACGGTAGGTTTAGATTAGATATTAGGAAGAAATTTTTTACTATAAGGGTGGTGAGGCACTGGAACAGGTTTCCCAGGGAAGCTGTGAATGCCCCATCCCTGGAAGCATTTAAGGCCAAGCTGGACACAGCTTTGAGCAGCCTGGTCTAGTGAAAGGTGTCCCTGACCATGGCAGGAGGTTTGGAACTAGATGGCCCTTAAGGTCCCTTCCAACCCAAACCATTCTGTGATTCTATGTGACTGCATGGATCCCACAGAACTGACTGATCCGCAGAATCTTCTGTGGATACTACAGTGAAGATATTAATTTGTTCTTGTGAACCAAATATTACGCTGCCATCCTGCATGAATCTGATGTTGGTACTTAGAACAAGATCTGATGCACTACATTTGACAAAATGGCATTACATCAAATGGCCACCCATGGCTAACTTAAGAATTAGCTATTTCTCTCCAGTGCAGTCAAATGCGTTCTTCAAGCTTTGGTGAAGTGTGATTCAACAGTCAGGTAAGAAAGACATAGTAGAATATAGTGACAATATAAAACTGTGTTATTATCCACTTAGATTTTCTTTTTTGTAAAACAGCCTAGCTTTTGGAATGGCTGCATCATAGTTTGGGGTTCAAATGACCACCACTAACGTGTAAGAAGTCACAAAGGGTATAAAGCTCTTGTTCTACTGATGCAGTTGGAGGCTTTGGGAAGGTAAAAGACATGTCTATTGACTAACATAACAACTTCTTGGGGGTTTACCCAGATCCAGGCTTTCATACCAGTGCACATCTACAACATTCCCACAAACAAATCCAGCCGCACAGATGCGGAGATTGCTTACTCTCCCAGTCAATTTAATAGCCAAGAGAATCTTATGTAAAGAACATGCCAAACATGTACCCAAGACCCACACAAAATACCAAAAATTGGTCTTGATTAAATACAGAAATAGTTAGGACAAATTCTGATGCACTTCCCAAACAAAATAAGTCTTGAATATATTTCTGTACCATCATGCAATTGACTCTCGAACAGCCACGGTGAGGTTCTGGGAAGGAGATGGTTCTGTAGGTAGCAGCGAAGTAAAAAAGAGGCAAAGCCAATTCCATCTTCAGGAGTTCAACACCAAAGAATAAAAGAACATTAAGTGTGGCTGCTGTGAGGAGACCTCTCAGTGAAGCTCTTTGGTACCTGTACCTACTCTGCTGAACCATATGTACTTAGTAGCTCTGGTACATCAACCAGCACCTCCTGGCAGAGGTTTGCTGATGAGTACCAGCAGGTCCCAGGCTCCCCCAAAGAGCCTCTGTCCGTGGTACTTAACCCTGAGCTGTCAGACCCAACACACAAAACCGTCAGATCATCCAAATGTAGCTTAACACTATGGGAACATATAGACAACTCCCTTAACATACAAGAATGGAACAGACCACTTTGATGTAATTTTGGAATGGCAAAACACTTCTAGAAACTAGTGTTGGGTTACAACTTCTGTGTCACCTACACTGTGACACATCCTTTTTTAAGACTGTATTGATCAATAACATCTCTTAAGAGAATCAAAGTCAGTCAAAGCTTTCCTTACGCTTTAGTATTTCCAGCACTTCAAAATGTACTGAAGTGGTTAAAGAGACATATATTCTTGTAAAAACAATGTAAGAAATGATGTTCAAATGAAGATTCTCAAAATTATTATTCTGAAGTCACACTTTTTAGGTTTTCATGGTCCTTCCCTGTGGATGGGAGGATTATATTATGTAAGAGGGCCCCACCTGTTTTACAGTCTTACACTCAGAACAAATTTTAGGTCACCAACTAATAATTCAGGATATCCGACTGCTTTTACTGAATACTGAGGAGGCAAAAGTTCTTACAGTTTTCCCTGGTTATATTCGAGTCCAATACTGGCTCTTTCCAAATACCGGAGATGACATCGATTATTTCTATCTTATATTCTCATAAATTCTTCTCCACCTGAGAGCCTATCCCAATGACAAAACTTTTAAAATTCTATATAATCTTAAAATTTGTTTTAATTACTTTGTAACCCTAGCATAGGACAGTAAGTAAAATCATTCAAGCCACAGTACTCCAGAACTCAAAACAGTTCTCTAGAAATCTGCTGCTGACTACTCAGAGATGAAAAGAAATCTATTACAAGAATTTCAAGTGAAGTGGAGTTGAACAGAATTAGAAAGTAAAATCTATCTTAATGACATAAAATAAGCTCCATCATGCCTATACTATTCCTTATGTTACCACAGAATGAAAGGATAAATTAATTTTCAATCAGAAGAGGCAAAAATAGCAAATAAACTGGAAAAAAATCCTGCACTGTAACTTGGTCTCTAACAACCAAAGAAAGCAGAGCATATACATGTAATAATTTAAAAGCAATTTTCACAGGACGATACTAACAGGTCTTTTATATGAAACAGGTGTCCTGATAGACACACTGAATCTGAATATCAGTTGAACCCAATTAACCTAATTTGATGCTTGTCCATACTAAGACATTTATCTTAGGTGTTACACAAAATCCTTTAGGATATTACACAGAAAGCGATAAATAGGCTGTAAAGGTTATGACATTAATTTTACTGACATTCTCATGCTTTAAGCAGACATCAAAACTAAAAACCTCGTCCTCTGGGGAAGAAGAACTATCTGAAAGTAATTATAGGACTTATTATCATAACAGTATTAAACTAAACCACTATGACCCTAACCGAATTTATTTTTGGTACCTTTTGTTAAAAGAACAAAGCTTCTCAATGATGACTGCGCCTTCTAACGCAGTGAACATTAGTTCAGGTACCGGAAGAAAGCATTAAATCAAATCTTATAATTTCATACTAAGCTTAATTATGAATTTTAATTTAAAACTAAGCATGCAAAGAACTGTTAGTCAAATATTATGTAATTTAATTTCTGAAGGAAAACACTCAGCTAAAAGGAAAAATTAAATACTTAGAACAGTTAAGAAAAGACATTCTCCTGACAGAAGCCCGTGAAATGCCCATTTGTGTTTCAAAAGCAAATTTATTCACTTCATTTTTCACACCTGTTCTTTCACATACTGTGCCACCTTGTAAATGAGTGCCATGCAAATATTATTTCCCTTAATTTAGAAACTTTTCAACTGAAACCAGGTTTCCCTAGAAGCATGAAAGTATTGAATCAACATAGCTTCCAGGAAAGTTAGCAAAATCCACTGGTATATAAAGGCCAAGTTAGACTTGAAATAAAAGATTAACACACTGAAGCTATGTGAAAATACTGAGGAAGATAAAAATGACAGACACAAAGACTGACTAGTGTAACACACAAAAGCATTTGTTCAAGCAAGTATATTTGCCAAAAGCCTGCAGTGCTTGGCTACTTTATAAAATCAAGCACAAGGCATTAAGCCAATTTGTTTAAAAAATGAAAACCCCTCCAAAATCCCAAGCCCAAATAACCAAGCAATAGCTTATTTGCACTTCCAAAAACCTGCAAAAATATTCTGCATTTCAGTATCCTCATCTTCAGTCTCAAATGTCTGATTTATTCAAACTTTTCTATTTTACATTGTATTTTTACACCAGGATTTCATCCTGTATCAGTAGATCCTTGTCTTCCTGTTCTACACCCAAAAAGATATGGATGTAGTCACAAAGAATGGCTTTCTTACAAGTGAAATTATAGAGTGCTTATGATTCCATACTTAGATAATTAACCAGGGGGAAACGTGTGTCCATGGCAGAATTCTTTTGGCTGAGCCCATTAGATGACTTCAGCAGAACCACAAAAAGAAACAGAACAGCACAAACCCAGCAGACCCTAAAACTCGGGCTATTTTTAAACTTTTGGTCATCCTGTGAGATGGACCAGTCCGAGTGCATTTCCTGAAGTTCAAGCCTTGCATGGACTGAATGCCACAGTGGCAATCCTGGACAAAAATGCTTCCCTTCATACTCTGTTGGGTGAAGTGGGGAAGGGTTGGCTGGCATGCCTACCCCATGCCCATCTGTCAGAGTGGAACTGTGCCTACACGACAGGTTCTATGCTACTTTCGGTAACATGTTGCTGAGAATAAAAGCTTATTTATGAAACAACGTAGGGCAACTTCAATGTTCAGCTTAAAATAGCAAGCAAATGAAAAATGATTGCTTTCCTTGAGATTAGTCTTTCAAAATCAACTTCTAAGGTTTTTCAATTGTATGAATAAAAACTAGCACATACACTGCAAGAAATGAGGCTTTTCCACACATTTTCTACTATTGCATCCAACCCAGTATACAGTCTCAGTAATTCCTATTTTACAACTATATCTCCAAGAGAGCAAATTCAAGGACCTGTGAAAAAATGTATAGGAGTGAAATTTCTCAAAAGGATGCTGGGAGAAGAGAAGGCTAAAGAAGGAGCAATATTGATTCTTCATTCTATGAAATGT